ATTATTAATTAGTTAAACTAATAATTAGTTTATAATTCACTAGTTATAACCTTCACAGCTAAGATCCGCCATGCCACTTTCATTGTAGTAAATGACACTCATTCCTTCCGTATTTCATTGATGCAAACCATTGCTTTGTGGAACCGACTCCCAAGAGGATGCTTCCCCGATTACTACAATCTTAACCTGTTCAAGTCTAGTGTTAACTCTTATCTTCGTCTCCTACCCTCCTACCCTTTCTCTGTAACTCTCAATTGTAAAATAATGAAAAAATAAAAATTTAGTTTTGGGCTATTATTTAACTAAAAAGAAGAAATTTAAATCATTTAAAATACCTTTTTCATTTTTCTTTTTTTTTCTTTTTGAAAGTCTGTAGGGTTACTGCAATATAGCAACATTTCTATCGAGAAGCTTTATGTGACTCAGGAGATTTATTTAAAAAAAAAGTGGCACAAGGCCAAGAGTAGGGATGGCAAAGGCTGGTTTTCAACTGTCTTATAATTAAGCCTAGCTAGCCACAATCACTGACCCAGACATACCATAGTGTACCATAGTGTTCCTTGAGCGAAAACAACATATTTATTATATTAGAATTTTTCGATTTTTTCTGCTTTTCTTTACCAGAAAGAATTGACAATAAATTTAAATTTCATGTGTTTCATAGATTTTTTTTTTTTATGTATCAAATTTGTGCGATGAAAGAATTTAGAGGAGAGGGCTATAGAGTTAGGTTTAGGAAAAAAGCATTATTTAAAATTTCTTCTAAGTTTATCTTAATTTAATATTAATTGCTTGATGCTTAGAAGAAATAACTGTGTCGCCTTTGTTCAAAATAGCCGTGAATTAGTAAGGCCGTAGTTAGAGAGTCTAACAAAGAATTAGAAGACGAGGGAGGGAAAAAAAAAAAGAAGATATTTATTAAATATTCATTCATATGTAATAGACTGAGGAAATCTACTACTCTGATGTGGCTGCTTACAATATTTATAACTGGGAGCAGTCCATTGTCACAGTAGTCGTGAAAAGCAGGAAGTATGCTGAGTCCTACTATTCAACAATAACAAATTTCTGTTGTAGACGAAACCCGTTTTTTCAGACTTATAAATGCAGCAACTCATACTAAAATTTTTCGTAACGAACCCTGTTAAAACAACCTCGACTCGAAACCATCGTAAAATAAATAAAATTAAAATAACTCTCGATATAAATAGCTAAACAAGGGACATAACTGTAAAAAAAGAAATTCTAATTTACTTCCCATTTCACTTGCATATTTTGTACTAAGTTTCCATACATTAATGTAATAAGTATCAACATTTTGTAGAAAAATACAAATTACGAATTTTAAAAAGGCAGTTTTTACGCTCGCAGGAAACATGAGAACATGAATTTGTGTCTTGCAGTGAAAAAGAAAAACATTTTTAATCATAGGCAGCTCCAAAGATTCGCTAAAAATGAAAATGTATGGTGAAAAAAATGACCCCAAATTTATAAATGAAAGCCTTTTTGTTATTATTAAGAGGAATGACCAAAGGATTATTAAATTATATTTTTTAATCCTTTTTAGAATATTCAAAAGTTTGGTTAAAAATTTTGTTTTTCTTTTTAGGTTACCATAAATTTGTATAGAAAATTTTATGCCATTTTTGCAGAAAAACATTTGGAAATTCTTGCAAAAAATTCAGGTAATTGTTGGAACTTAATGACACTTTTAAGACCTTGTCACAAAGGACTTAAATTATTTTAGAAATATCTCTCTCTTATAAAATCTTGTTAAAAATACATCTGCTACAGTTTGGGATTCTTAGTCTTAAACTGACAAGGTCAAGGGGGATGTGGCTGGCATTTATCTTTGATTGTCTCTATATTTTAGCCATGATTCTCACGTTTATTTATTCATATGATGAATTCCAGTTCTAGTATTTTTGATTGAAGATCTCACTGCCAAGAGTTTCTTTAATATCCCAATTGCCAGATAGTTAACGAGACTCTGCTTCATATTTAGTCTATTGTGGAACAATATGTCTATGATTTCTTTTACCATTTCCACATTCCATAACCTGAACAACATTTAACAGAAAATAATATTCAACAAGTAATCAAGTAAGAGAGAAAAGAGAACATTCAAGAACAGAGGAATTATGAATACGAGAAAATCAAGACAGACAATGAGGTTAATTTACAATGCAGTCATGGAATCAGTTAAAAATGAATTTGTTTACAACTGATATTCCAGACTAAATAGGGAAACCTTCCTCTTACATATATTGGCAAAGGTGTGATAAGTAAAGAAAACATCGCTAGTCACAGCCACATGATAAACTCCTATTTAATGACTGCACACTCCACTATCACTGCAGCAAGAGTTTGGATATAAATGAAAATTCTGCATACAATCTCATCAAAAGAAGTGCAACAGGAAATCTGTTTGAAAATTGCTTCCTTGTTATTGAGGTCATCTCAATGTGCCAATGAAACAATTGATAGCACATTTTGAGACATCAGTGTGAATTGGTCTACAAAATCTACCACTCGAAAATATGGTTACTACTTAATTTTTAATCATCACACGTGAAATATCATGTAAGATAAAATCGTAGGTTAATACTCAAGGCATTTAACTACAAGTAATAAGGGAATGAATGGCAAAGTCAGTTTCAATTAAATAAAACAAATGATAATTTATTAAAGCTCGCAATCAAATAAAATATATTCTTATGAAAAATATTTCTAAAAGCAATCTGTTATTGGAATTATTATGTCTGTCTAATGTTCATTGAACAATAAAAGGTTTTCTGAAAGAGAGAAAAGTTCAAATCCAGATTTGAATGAACATGATCATTGTTTAGAGTGAAACATTGTTTACTTCAAGTTTTTAGAAGGAATCAACATGCATAATAGTTTTGGAGCAATATTCAGAAACTCTGCCAAGACACAAAAGTGTGTGTGAGTGTATGTGTTGTTACAAGTAATGGTATTTAACTGTTTAGGAGGAATGGATTTGCCAAAGTGGGGAAACTTCTGTAGAGATTTGTTAGATTGAGAGAGATAAAAATATGCAATTTTTTACCTGAATATTTTAACTCATGTCATTATACTAGGGACAAATTTTGTTTTAGGTATACAGAAGTGACTGAGCTGATACTGTCATCATTTGTATTAGTTAATGTCAAACTGTAAGAGAAAGTCAAAGTTTTGACGTTGGTAGTAAATATGAGAATTAAGTTTAGTCATGGTGTGGAATTGCTAAGTTTAGAAGTTGAATCACTAGAGATTAGAGAAAGAAAACTCAACCAACTGCCAGGAGCATATAAAATTTGAATTAAGTACCAATACATTATCCAATCTGAATGGTTGAAACATTTCTGCATCAAATATTTACAGTAATGGCTCTGACAAGTGACCAAATCGATGAGATCAGATTTGTCTTACTGGAATAATTTGCAGGTGATAAGAAGGTGTACAGAAGCATTGACATCGTAACTGACAAGACAATAATTCCAAAACATCTGCAATACCATGGTGGCACTATGTTTTGAATAAGAAGAGGAACGTGTGTTTTCAATTCAATCTCAAGTGTTTCTGTTTTATAGCCAGTGGATAAGGTCTTTGAAGTTGAATCTTCTAAGTAGCACATCCACTTGACTGAAGAGGAACAAGAGAACAAATAAAAGAAAGCATTTGAGGTCAAGTGACAACAACCTGGACATTGATGATTTCCAGTTGGGATTAAAGATGTCAGTTCTGGTTTTCTTTTGACAGGGAACAGACTCACATAAACTCTTCTTACACAGCAATATCTTTCAAGAGCAATCATTACAAGAGACTCTCATGAACATTCTTCCAGTGAACTTTGGAACACTGAAATAACAGTTAAAGATATACAACTCTTAGTTAATTCAACCTTTTCTTACTTAAATGCATGCTTTTCGTCACATAGTTGTTTGATAATGTACGTCTTGTTAAATACATATTTTCTGTGTAAGAATATCTTTTGGTTATCTTTTTCTGCGTGAGGCATGTTTCCTAATCTAAAGTTAAATTAATGTGGTGAAATCCACCACAAACCCATCTATTCCTTTTGTGGAAAAAAATGTAAGTAAATAGTAAATATAAGTTCAGAGCTCCAGGCGGAGACGCTAGAAGTACAGAGTCGAAGTATATTCGAGAAAGAAACAGAAACCGAATGCCACAACGAACATAAGACTACTCTTGTTCAAAATACCAGAGAGAAGTGTGAACTCGACGACAGGTGAGCCTTGTTGTCACTAAACAAATGAAGTTAATCAGGTTTCAATGAGAAAAAGCTCAGGTCCGTTTTGAAATGGCCACAAGCAAATCAGAGAGAGAGAAACTGACAACCACCTAAAATATGGCCTCATCTCACATGGTCGGGCAATTCTTTGTCCCCAGGAGTTAGAAATTCTGAGAGGCAGCAAAATCGAAGCAAACATTCAATCAAGAGGAATACATGTATCACAATGTTACTCAGCAGTTCTGCCATGTTGAATTTAGTGATTTAACTGTGAACGTAAGTTGCATGTTACGCATAAAATAAGTGAATCATTTTAACAGAAAACACACTATGAAGGGCCATCTTAAAACCTGTATATAATATGAGTAAGTTCAGCTAATGAAATGTACATTTATAAAATAAGTGATATATTTAATAATTCTTTTACTAATTGTTCACTCTCTAAAAGACCCAAGAAAAACTAAAGGTAGAAGATTACTAAATGAGGTAAAAAAAAATGCGCAGATCCAGAAAACAATTTACGACGTAATTTACTCTGTTTAAGACAAACAAAACCACCGCGTCTTTGCAAACAAGGTGCATCCATTAAAATAACATTTTGTATTTATCCTCTATTTATTTTATAAAATATCCATTTCAAATAATAAAATAAGATACAAAAAGATTTTTGATCGAGTTTAGGATAAAGGGAGAGAAATATTGAGTGAGATTAGTTAACCATGAATAAAACTGTTGTATTCTATAGAAATTATATCTATCAACTCAAAGTTTTCTACATCCAACTAAAAAGTCTTTCTTCCCTTTTTTTCATCCAGATCTCTCTCTGTCTTACTCTCTCTCTCTCTCTCTCTCTCTCTCTCTCTCTCTCTCTCTCTCTCTCTCTCTCTTATCCCTTCCCTATTAAATGACAAAACTTGATCTCCTTTGTTGGTATGGCGAATTTGTTCAAAATCTATTCAAAGAAATAAAAATATAATTTATTTAAAAATGTTTAATTTTTGTGTCATTAATTATGAAAGCAAAATCTTTCTTTTCACTCAGGTTGTTGCTTGAATATTCTTTTTCGCTCCTTTTGGTTTATTATATGGGTTTCATTTCAAGAGATCAATATTTTTCTTCTTGTATTAAAAAAAAAATCTCAACAATTATGATAATCACACATTATGAAATGGACAAATTCAGACAATTATTTTTTAAGACATTTTTATGTTTATACATTCTTTTTTTATAGATACAAATCTTTAAGTAATTACAGAACCGTCATATACCGATTGGGCCATAGAGGAGCGTTCGTTACATTTGGATACGCATTGAGCAGATATGAATGGATGAGGGAAAATCATAGAGAATTGTGTTTAAAACAGTAAAATCGACCTTGCTAACCGAAACGCTCCTCTGTGACCCAATCGGTAAAGGCACGCCAGGCTATATGACGGTTCCGAATAGGATACAGGTTCGATTCCTGTCGGAGGATGCATATTTTCTATGAAAATTTCTCGGACATTCAGGCCGGTAAATGTTGTTAATACTATTTATTATAAACAGATCATTTACTTAAATATTTGTATTTAAAAAAAGAATGTATAAACATAAAAAATGTCTTAAAGAATGATAATGAATATTTTTTTCCTGTTTAAGAAGATAAAAGTGTGATAATCGGTTATTCTGATAACCAATAAAATCTACATCTTAATGTTTTTGATGTTTTTTCTTTTGGGAAGTTTCTAGAGTAAAGAAAAATAATTTTCTAATGCGTTGAATAATTTTAGTTTAGAAAAACGAGCTTAATTCCTGTTTAGATACGTTAGCAATCATAGAGTGACCAAATATATATAATATATATATATATATATATATATATATATATATATATATATATATATATATATATATACACTAGAAACATCTGACAACAGTTTTATAATATGATAGAGGATAACATCATTCAATAGATTAACAGTATTTCAATGCATACATTATGTTCTACTAGCGAAGTGATTTCGCCATAATTCGCATTAATATTGCTGATTGATTCTATTTATGATTATTTCTTCATATATAAAATATATGCTACCTAATGTAATAAGTTTATAAAAAACAATTGATCGGCAGTACGAAATTCCTGAGAAAAAAAAAACTACTTAGACATATCACTATATTAATTGAACTATATATTTAGTTCATGTCATGTTAATTGAAAAACACTTGTAAAAAAAGAATTCGTGGATTTACTATATTACAAAATTCATATAAAAATTTTCACTTGAAATTTTGAACTTTAGCGTTGTAACTTGCACGTTCCGAGATTGTACAACCGTCAATAAATAGCACATTCTTAAAAAAAAAACATCATTGGTTTACAATTATTTCGACGTCAAGTTTTAACTTTAAAGGAAAAAAATTACAGCCTGATGATGAAGACATGGATTTTCGAAAGTACTTGCTTAACTTAAAAAAATATACACTAGAAACATCTGACAACAGTTTTATAAATGAGGATCATATCATTCAATGGATTAACAGTATTTTAATGCATACATTATGTTCTACTAGCGAAGTGATTTCGCCATTAATCGCATTAATATTGCTGATTGATTCTATGTATGATTATTTCTTTTTATATATATATATATATAATTTATTAAAAAATTATAACAAACATGTAATAGCATCACTATAAAAATAGCCATTTTGTTTCAACACTTTTGTCTTATCAAGTGATGGTATTGAATGTAGAATAAAGAGTTTTAAAATGTTCAAATCAACCAAATGGTGTTAAATGTAGAATAAAGCATTTTAGAAGGCTCAAATCAGCCAAACATTGCGGGGTGCATGGTTGATTTGAACCTTTTAAAACTCTTTGTCCGACATTCAACACCATCACTTGATAAGACAAAAGAAGTGTTGAAACAAAATGGCTAATTTTGTAGTGATATTATAACATGCTTATGAATTTGAAATTTTGAATGAATAATATTTGCTCTACTCTGTATTGAGCACTACTCAATTATGTATTTTAGAATCTCTCCAATATATATATATATATATATATATATATATATATATATATATATATATATGCATGTTTCATTTAAAACAAGATTATATATCTTCATTATGACCTGGTTACTATGTTTTGCGGAATCTCCGACGAACTCTCCCGTCGTGGAGATTACAAAATCCCTAAAGGATCTAATTCCCATTTAATTATATTTTTGTCGTTGGCCCTAACACCTCTCCTATTTATTTATGTGCTGATACGACATTCGTCGTGGATTCAATTGTCGATGATTAGCTGAAGCAGAATAGGAATTGACTTCTTAGTGTTCATGCCTTAAATTCGAAGTGAATTCTGTTGAGGTAAATGAAATCCTATTTAATTTTATTTTCTGGGCCTGTAAAAAAAGATTAAAAATAATGGAAGCTTTAATAATTAAAAAGAAAAAGCCAAATCTTAACAAATTTAACTGCGAACAAGGCCACAATGTGCTAACCGTATTCAGAACCTAAAACATCTCTACAACACACTAAAACTTAGACATAATGCACACACTTAATTAAGCTGAAAAATAGAATCATCTTTCATAATGTCTAAAGGTATAGCCGAAAGCGCTCGGAACTATAAAACATTTGGACTTTTTTTACACACTCTTTATCCATGAAATCTAACTTCCGTTAAAAGCGTGTCATCTGGATTTCATTGAAAAATACACCCCTACCCACTACCAAAAAGTAACAATAACTGATACATTAAAATATAGACATATTGAACACCTAGACACCCCTGTCTAGAAAAATAGATTTATCTGTAACCTTGAAAACATGAATTTTGTTTTAGCTGTGTATTTAAAACCCAGTGGTTTTAAAAGTTACTCCAAAATTCGCTTGAGGATGAAATGGAACTAATGTCTTTAATTTAATTACAAAATTAAATTCGGGGCTTTTAGCTTCCATTTTTGAAACATGGTTAAAACTGTGTAGCGGAAAAAAACATATTTTAAATCAATTAATTTATAATATTAATGCTCTGTAAATTTATATCGAGGACTATTTTCTATAAATAAAAATATCTATAAGAACACCGGATTATATATCTTACTGTTCTTTCTTTTTATTTATATACATAATATATATATATATATATATATATATATATATATATATATATATATATATAAAGAAAAATTACGAGATTCGAAAAGTTTGATAATTGTGGAAAAGGATAGCAGAAAGAAAAATAAAACATTAATCGGGATTTAAGCCTAAAATACTCAGAGATTATAAAGTCACTATTTATAACATACATTATTTTTTAAGTATACGAGATTATTCAAATTATTCAAATTATTATAAATTCATAATATTCCCCTGTATAACATCTAGATGTTTTAAATTAAAATCTTATTTTTAATCGCTTATTCTTTTAATTCTTTCATTCTGACACACTCACACACGCGCGCACACACACACACAAATGATCAACACATATAACTTCATATCATCAAACATTTTAGTCAACATTATTTCTCGTAAAGAAACATATATAAGAATTATTTTGTATCCATGAAAGTTGGTACCACCAAAGAAAAGCTCTACCTAAAATTTAAAATGAATTTTTAAAAATGAAAAAATCTTTTATGTAGTTTTTATTTTTGTTTTAATTTCAGTCTAAAAGACTATATTTCAAAAAGCAAAAATACTTGGCGGTAAATCGAATTTAAATTGAATGCAATAAACTTTTTACAGTCCTTAAAAATCGCTGATATTATAGCAATATTTAAAATTCTCTCGACACACACTAATTCTCTTTATTAAAAAATCTATATAAAATAAAATATACTTTTCATAAATTTTATTTGAGGAAGGTTAGCTGGTTTATATTTAATCAATCTTATTTGAAACATTTAGTTTATAATATCGCAGAAAAGCATTTTTACATGGAGTTGGTTGTTTTCATGAGGTGTTGACAGATCTATTGACAGCCTGATATTTGGAAAATTGAACTATTGAAATTGAACATATCCGCAAAAATTACTTGATGATTACAATGTGAGCCAATTTTTTATGTCATTTTTCTACTCAGTAGTCTTTAAATTTTAAAATTCTAGGAAAATATTTTAAGTAATCTAATGTTTTATTGAATTTTAGGTACTTTGACTTTAAATTTATTATAGTTTAACGCTTTTAATTTCTGATAATGTCGTATATGGAGGTCTATATTTAAAAAAATCAGCCCCTTTATACACACACTCATTTATCATGAGTGAATATAGTTTTTACTTAAGAGCAATATCACCTAATCAGTACAAATTAATACAGAATTTTAAAATAAAAATGAAAACAATTCTTATAAAAATTCATTATTCATCCATAATTTATCATATTGATAAAAGTAATTAAAAGTTTTCTAATTAAGAATTGTCTTAGTTTTATTGCATTTTTTATTTTACAATTTAGAGAAGATTATCGGGGTCCAGTTGAAAAAAAAAACATGATGATTTAAAGTCTCCAAAAACCGGCTTAACTAATATTTTTTAAGAATAATATTTTTTAACCAAACTTTTGACGGTCCTAACAAGAATTAAAAAATATAATTTAATAATCAAAAAATTATTTTAGTCTTTCTCTTTTATAATAATATAAACATTTTGAAAATAAAATTTTGTTTTTATTAAGTTTGGGGCATTTTTTTATCATGTATCCTCATTTTTTAGCGAATCTTTAGAGGTTTCTACATGGAAGTATTTTAATTTTCCAGATAAAACAATCACAGTTGCTTCCCTTACATTTGTTTTCATTTTACGATTGTCAGTCTTAGAAGATAGTAAAAACATTTGTCATTTAAAGACTTTAAATTAAAGTGCTAACCTGGCACTAAATCTTCCTCCTGTCAATTTGTAATTT